AGTGAACTGTGCAAAACAATGCATATTTCCTTTTCTTTGTAAAAGTGAAAATATAACATGTCAACTGCATGGTGCATCCTCAATTCTTCACCTGCGCTGCATGCACTTTGATACAGCAAGTGACACAAGCGACACTGGACGCCAGACCAAGAAAAAGTCAGAAGTATATAACACCCCCTGCTGTTTAAAAAGAGCATCACAGTGCATTTTTCATCTCACTGACTTGAATCATCACATATTTCTATCACAATTTAAGTGTCTTGTGATATATTTTTATATCCCTAGTTGCCACCATTGCAGCCCTTTTCATAAATATTTTCACATCTAACTTAACTCAGTGAATCAAGGATTTATTTTGACCAAACCAGCGTCGGTGGTTGTTGGAAAGACTAACAAATACGGTTTTAATGACTTTTATTTTGTTTCAGTCCAGTTTGAAGCAGGAATGCTAGGAAGTCAGTCAGAGTTGGGGGTGCTGACAAGAAGTCAGTCTATATAATGACGTCACACTTAATGCTAAATGCATGACATTCATGGTTATTGCATTCATTTGAATGGCTAGGATTGTTCACACAAGATTTTTCATACGAATACATACGTAAACCCCAGTAAAAAAAGGGAAAGTCATTCTTTTTTTGTTATATTTTATTATTTTATTTAGTTTAACATTTTTATTAATACTGATTATTTTTATGAATGAATGGATCTCATTATGAGTGCCCGTGGTCTAAAATGTGTTTTAGGATTATCTGTGAGGTAAAATCCCTGGTTTTATCAGTGGAGTCTCGTAGGCAGTAGTGCCCACTTGTTTTAGTCTGAGAAATTCCTTATATATAACCTTTTGAACAATATTTTTGTACACTCTAAGGCACTCTGTAAGAGGGTTGGACCTACTGGAAAGTGTGGTGCTCGGGTCATCAGAACCTCTCGATCCACTCCAGAGAAGGAGGGAACCAGTTTGGGCTCTGGGAACAAGAAACGTCGAGCGTCTTCTTCAAAGCAGGCCAGAGTGTCCCCCACTGCAAACACAAACATACTTCTGCTACACTGTGACAAAGCAAATGGGAAAGAGGTTGTCTGCGGTAATATGTGTAATTGTAACCAGTGAAAGAAAGATACATTTAAATGAAAAATAGACCTCACCTGGAGGAATCAGCTGCACCAGTTCAACTCTGGCCGTCTCATCTGAAGAGAAATGGTATCAGGTTGAGAAAGATCCGCAGCAACCTATAAGTTATGTTCTATATAAGTTCCTATAAAGATATATTATAGGAATGTTTTATGCTTTAATGCAGTTTTGTTCAGTACAATTTCTATGTACACATACTGAGAAAAAAAATGCTGAATAGATTAAATGGGCTAAATTATAAGAAAGAAATATACTGCATACAACCAAATATTATGTAACTTACACTCAAGCATTACAGCGATGTCTCCAGGGTCAACTGCATGCCTGAAAATCTGAATAGAAACAAAATATTCATGTTTATTTATCTTTCTTATTTTACGTTATATATGAATTTGCATGTACTCAATTGTATTCTCCCTCAAAGTCCCCCAAAAATAGTTTTTTTGTCCGTATTTGGACAAAGTGGACTGAGCACGTGGCAGCTGGGTCTCAGGAGGTAAAGCAGCTCCTCCTGCTGCATGACACTTTGACATGCTGAGCAAGAAACTGAACGCCAAATTGCTGTGCTTTGGAGTATGAATGTGTTCGTGAAATGGGTGGAATTGTGGGCATGTAGTGGGAAGCACTGGAGTGATCAGGAAGACTAGTAAGGATGCTATAGAAGTCCATTTACCATTTACATTAAAGACTTCAGTTAACTTGATAGAATAAATGAGTGGAAATCTAATGTGATTTATTTATATGTTTTTTAATCACACCTGATAGCAAATAGCAATCTTTATTCATTTCTTTCCTTTTTTCTTATCTAAAATGAAAGCTTATCATGTTCAAAGCACTTTGTAAATTTGTTTTTGAAAGGTGCTATATAAAGTTAATATTATTATGACTGTATCTACAGGAGTGGACATCTTGTTGGTAAGTACTGTACAGCCATGTTAAGTTTATTTATATCATTCAATACAGGCATGTCTCATGTTACAGAGAATGGGAATAACTTGATCTAACTAGTTACTGATAAATACCTTTAAAAACACATTTTATATACTACACACAGCTATTTTTCTCATTTACATTATTCAAACCTCCCTTCATCGTAGCTGTCTGTCTCCAACATGGATCATAAGTGAAGACCTGCCTTTTCAAAGGTCATCTTCTCATGGAACAGCAGAGGAAAGACGGCGGGGAGACATTCAGACTGACGGTACTGGCCCATGAAGCACATGCTGAGGTAGATATCATCCTTGGCTGGCAGATGAACTCCAGGACAAGAAACCTGAGAACAGTGGAGTAATATGAGGCATCCATGTGTGTTTGATTTTCTGTATTATCAAGCACCTAGTTGGACATATTGGACTTTCAGAAAAATGAGGAGATTGAAAAGTAATAGCGACAACGGCGATATGACAAGAAGTCAGTTGTGTATGTAGCCTCCAAGTTTGTATTCAAGACCATTAAAGACATTAAAATGTCAGCTGGAGACAGTTTTTCAGCCAGCTAAACCCAACCTAACATCAGGGACAAAGGTATGCTTGGCTTTGAGTAAAAGTGGCTTTCCTTTAAAATATTTAAAATATTTAATTAAATTTGAAAAATTATTTAGTAGCAAAACGTACTTAAGTAAAGTACTCCTTATAAAGATGTTTCACTCTCTTCAAATGCTGTGTTGGGCAGTAACTCATTACTAGTAATATTAAACTAATTACTAACACATTTCAGTAATAATATTACAGTTACCACCCCAAAAAATGATTAGTTACACTATTACTTTTGTTGGCACCCCCTACTGATCTGAAATCCAACAATCCAATCACATCCTTGGATTAAGTTTTGTAATCATGGAGGAAACTAGTTTGGAAGATGAAAACACTTATATTCAGCAGCTGGAATTACTCCCATTACTTTGATTTTAACAAACTGGATTTCAATTGTTGTAAGTCTGAATGTTAGGGGGGGGGAATGTAATATAACTATTATTGTAACTAATTTCTTTTGAAAAGAGTAATTAGTAATAAGTGATAAATTACTTATTTTTTAGTACCTAGCCACTATTAAAATGATCAATGCTACTCTAACATGCAGACGCCATATTGGATATTAAAATTGACCTTCATGGCAGGTTTTCAGAAAAAACAGAACATTAAATATTACTGAATTACCACCAGTTGCATTGAATATCTGACCCTCAGTCACAACACACACTACTGGGCAGCAGCTACTGTGTAGACGCACTTGGTGGTTGAAATGTAACATAGCTGTATTTGGCGCATTAGCTCGCACAGTTACATGCTTAACGCTTCATTTAGCACTGCAAGTTAAACAAACGCGTCCCTTTGCTGGTAAGAGAGAAAAAAAGACAAATACTAGGACGTACACTGGTGTATGCTGTGCCGTTCTCTCCTAACAGATGAATGAAGACTCTTACCGCTCTGAACTGTAACTCAACCACCACTTTCAGTGCTTTACGGGACATTGGACTCTTCTATCGAAGGTGATAAAACGGACTAGCTACAGCCTCAACAGAATAAACCGTACTCCTCTCAAGTTTAGCGTCACCGTACCTTGTTACCATGGATACTATAGCTTCCGGGTTTAGTTGCTACAGCAACCAGGACTCTCCATTCCAGGACAGTGTTATTTGTTGCTCGAGTTTATTTGCCATTACCAATCTTTCTATAATAGAAAACATTAAACACCTAAATAATTGCAGCCTACTACCTTATTATTAACTTAATTGGTCACGTGGTTCCACGAAGTCGTCGTATTTCCCGCCTCTTCATCTTCTCCTGTGGCACAGCTCCTGTGAGGTTCTCAATTTGAGATATGGGCCCCTGCAGGTTAACTTAATAACTATGTCACAATTATAAAAAATTATTCAGCTATAAATTTCATTCTTCAACCCCGCGTTGTAAAATAACCATGAATCTCAACGTAAATTTAATGTAAAATATTTCCACAAATCTATCAGTGTCCTGTTAACCCACTATGGGGCCCTGAGCTGTGCAAACTAATTATCTGTTACTATTAGTGTAGTTGTTGCTACTGTTGTCGCTGTGCGTCTGTCTGTCTGTCACTCTCTCTCTCTCTCTCTCTCTCTCTCACAAAAACTCGAGGCAGGTTTCTGCCTCTTAAAAAGGCAGTTTTTCCTTGCCCCCGTCGCCAAGTGCTTGCTCATGGTGGTACTGTAAATGTTATAAGGAGTTCGGTTTGGACCTGCTTTAT